TTTATATCATGTCTGTGTGGAATTTGATATGATTTAGATGATAAGGTTTTATGGAACAGACTTGTTTTTTCACCCTAGGAACCAAGCTCTGTCTGCTTTTACTATGTCATAATCTAACTTATTAATGAACACAACCATGGTCAGAGGTGTTCAGATATTAATGGTATATATTGTTTTGCAATACAATATAACCATAGATGGGGCATAGCCTGTACGAAACTGGCTTGCTCATTGCAATCATGGACTGTTAAATGACCAGACGAGAAATACCTCTTTATAGCACTGGTCATAGCAGGGGGAACTCAGGTGGAAAAGGTCGACACCATCATCGGAACAGTTCTCGAGAGCATTGGTCATAGTATTTGAGACCTATGTAGTTTAAGGGGGAACTTGAACCAGCTTGCTGAGAACAGACAGTCAGACTTTCCATTGTCATTTTTCAGATAATAATCAAAAAGCTTATCTATTGCTCCTAGGCCAGTGTATTTGTTGAATGTGATTCCAACAAGAACATGTGTAACGGACCAATCATAGTCGCTTATTCTTCATTTTGGAGATTCTGAAGTTGTAATGTCTGTGGAAAGAGATTACTGATTACTGATTGGTTGAAATCTTAATGTGGGCCATTTCAAAGAATCTTCATGACCTTAATCTGGAAAATGAGACAGAATTGGCTGTATACTTTCATTTTCCCCGGGATAGACGGGACTTTTTTCATGAAAACTGTTAAAATGCTATGGTATAAATCAGTGGGGTTATCTTAGAACCACAAAAGTTCCGTTTGGATATTCACTCGATTATGTAATTTGGGAATTAATTTACAGTATATGTCTTCACCAGGTATCTGCCAATTCTGATTTATTTATTGGTCGATTTGAAATTCATTTGAACAGCCATTAAACAGTTCTTAAAACGTTGACATATATTTCAAAGCGATCAAATGAGTTATAGAGAAAATCAGATAGGAATTTTATGATAAAAGAGATTTATTGTTAAAAACATTTAATAGAATCATGTTATTATGATTGTATATCATATCTCATAGAACAAACTAAATTTTAACACTTGTTTGTACAGATAAAATCGGTATTTACCAAAGAGTATAATTGGAATTTTCAATATAAGGCATCGCTTGTATAAAACGTGTGTGTATGAAAATTGCAATTAAATTGGAATGAATATTATCAAACAATTTTAGCTGTTAAAACTCCAATCTAAATGAAAAATCAAATTTCCATATAAACTAATTACTAATGCTTTTGTTTGATTGACAGCACAATAAAACATTAAAATCGATTTTATTCAAAAGAATTAGATACATTATATTTGTTCCCGATTCTGACATTTTGATTTTTAATTATTTAAAGAGATTTCAATAAATTTTCCAGCTTGGTTGCCAGTGTTGATTGTACAAAACTCTACCTCCAGATTTGATACAATCTGCTTTCATGCTACATTTAAAATTGATATTTTTCTTACGGTTATTTTAAGCGATTGATGAAAATTAAGATTAAAAAATCAAAGGAGTTAATTTCGATTTTTGCCCTAATTAATAATTGATCCAATGATTATGAAATCCGTGCACCACGCAATGCATCTTTCAGGTTTTGATTCTGCAGATTTTTTAATATTAAAAACGTTATTGAGGCGTAACATAAATTTTAATTAGAATGTTCAAAGTAATAAAATTATTATTGATCAGAGTTTTGATAATGAAACTACAACAACCGGCCGATTATTTTGTATGTTTTATCGACTGGTTCGCACCTGCCTTAAAAGGTCATGTTTCAAACTAATCGATAAATTTAAAATCAGAAAATACTATGGTCAAATATACAAGTTCTTTTGGATCTACAATTCTTTTTAAATAGCTTTTGTCTTTGGCAACAATCAATACTCAAGTGTTAATGTCGATTGGAACATTGAATTGAATGACTTGTATTGCCTTTGATTTCAATACTTTAATCTACTGATACTATAGGATAAGTGTTGGAAATTACAAACATGGACACCTATTAATAATGCCATGGGGTTAGCTGGGAGTCAAGGATATTTCTATGAAATTTGTTTTGTCATATTGAAAGTTAATTCATATTGAAATAAAAGAGCGGTCATATACTAAAGGCTATATGGAATTTTTCATACCATTGATTATGACCATTGAGGCGATCGATTTCAGTTTCAATACTAAAGCGGTTTAAGTTTTAATGGATTTATTCATACTCTGTGTTACCATAATAAATAAATCAGTTTTTAAGTGTTTCATTTACATTTCTTTTCAATCTATGATTTTTGTTGTGTCAAAATTGAAAAGCGCCATTTTTATCTGGTTTGTTGGCGAGTGGCCAGAGAGTTGAATGGACAGGTCATTTTGATCGATAAAGGGCTATTTTCACAAGCCCGGTTTCAACCTTTCAATTATCCTTCAAATTACATTTCTATTTTATTACACATAACACGCTACGTTGTGTTGTATCCATGGAAACGGTGCTTATGAACTTTAATGCTTGTGAGTCACCAATATATTGACGGGACCGGACAACACACAAACTCAAATGAAATTTAACTTTCAACTGCCAATTTTATCTTCATGCAAATTCTTTTTTTTCTTTCACAATTTCAATAACGTCGTGAATGACAAGTTGTCTTAAGAAAACACGGAGAAAATGAATCATCTTTTACAATTACACTGAAAACCAATATAACATCAAAAAGTGACCCCCAAAAATTAAAAATTAATGAATAAAATGCAAATTCAGATGAAAGGAAAAAATATTTTAGATTAAAGGGATTGATTCTTGTCTGTTCGTTGTCATAGGTTTGTGAGTAGTTCTGGAACTCCGAATTTTACCATGGGGATTGATAATTGTTGATGGTTTTGCTTCCTTGCTCACTAATCCGAAGGCCTAGGGTTCAACCCCTGGATAATGCCCTTGTCCACCTGTCAGTGATGCAGGTCGGAGAGGTTGGCATGGAGAAAAGTCTCGTCGCTTGAGTGGACAATAAACCGAGGTCCCATATGTTAAACCCTCAGCAGATGTAAATTGAAAAATAGTAGGTTGTTCCTGCGTCATGGCAAACTTTGCCCCATTGCATACTGCATGGAAATCCATGTCCTCATTAGGCATAATGAGTGCAGAAAAAAGGCGTAAAAATCCATTTCCTTCAAAAGAATTGTCCAGTTGTGACCAAGGCTGTGTTTCATAGTTCTCAAGATATATCTTATGATAATGCAGGAACATAATAAGGATTCAGTGAATTTGACTTGTGAAACATGATTAAAATTTAATATCTTCAATGATTTACTTTCATTGTCACTGAGTCGTATGATCAATTAATTAACCTATGGGTCAATTTAATTAAAATTTTATAGTTTAAAATCAATTACATTTAATTAATATATAAATTTTACAAAGATACAGAGAATGTAATTTTCCATATTCATCACAAGAGTTTTTTTTAATAGTATAGGTCCAGCCTTTTAGATATTTCAGAGTGTATGATTTATTATGGTGTGTTGTATTTGTAAACTAAAAATTTCAGCGAAACAAATGGCCTAATAAACACCCAATCTGAAAAAAACCCAAATGCATTTCCGGTTTGAGATATTCTCCTTTTTGGAAACGGGAAACAGTCTTCTTGAAATGTCCAAAAGAAAAAATTCCTCCTTCGGCAATTTCGAAAATTGACCATTAAAGTCAAATCTGGAATACGTAAACTCTAGTCTACATACATTCCCAATGGCAATTAACATGATATATTTGCATGCTTATGGTCATTATTGGAACTGCAAGATCTAAATTTACACAGATTAATCATTAATTGTTTAAATATAGGCATGTAACGCCTTCTATGTCCAAGAATAGGTTATATAGAAGCCAATCCTATATTGCAGACCTCTTATCTCTGGCACCGCCAACGTATTGACTTTTCAAGGTCAGATATAGGATTAAAACGCAGTAAACAAATCTGAAATCGAAGTCGAGGAAGTGAATTGAATGGAAATAAAAAATCTAATCGTGTTTCACTCCAACTGACCATTACCATTGTAGGTCATTACCACTTTTATTAAAATCGATCGGATTTTATGCAAATTTTTCCGTTTTATCTCTCAGATTTCCACGAAACATCGTCCACGATTCTTCAATAAATTACTAAAGTATTGGACATAAAAGAAAATTAAATGATAGTCAAGCCGTCTCGCTGACCAGTCACGACATTCAAACCAATCATCATTTTCAAAATGGCATTGATTTTTTTTCTTTCCCACTTAAAGAATCTTAAAGTTCAAAAGAATGAATGAGTTCTTTTTATCCAAAAATACATCAAAGTTAAAGAAAGAGTCGCAATAGAAATTTCCAATATGGTCTGCTTTATATTTTCTTTTTATCAAAATTGACCACTCTATATTTCAATGTTTACCATTCCCAATCTTTATGGAAAACGAGAGGCAAAATATTGATTATCACATATTTCAATTTAGTGAGATGGTTAAGATTATTATTAGAGAGAGCGAGCCATAGTCATACTCCAATACACCGATCTCTGTCCACTACTAACTATACTGTTAACAATCGCACATCCAACACTTTCAAAATATCGATAACCACAGAATTTAACTCGAAAACTCGAAATTCGCTTGATTTGAATATTTTGATATAAGGAATGATCTGCAGACACCTATATTCGAAGCCGAGAGCCCAAGAGGAAAACGTATTGACGCTATGCAGATTGCGCAATTTGATATCAATGTTATAAGCCTATTCTGATGATACTGATGTGATAATCTGATGATACAGATGTTATAAACTGATTGTACAAGTATTATAATCTGATGATATCGATTTTATAATCTGATGATACTAAAGTGATAATCTGATGATACAAATGTTATAAACTGATTATACAAGTATTATAATCTGATGATACAGATGTTATAATCTGATGATACAGATGTTATAAACTGATTATACAAGTATTATAATCTGATGATACAGATGTTATAATCTGATGATACAGATGTTATAAACTGATGATACAGATGTTATAAACTGATATACGAGTGTTATAATCTGATGATACTGATGTGATAATCTGATGATAATGATGTGATAATCTGATGATACAGATTTTATAAACTGATTATACAAGTATTATAATCTGATGATACAGATGTTATAATCTGATGATACAGATGTTATAAACTGATTATACAAGTATTATAATCTGATGATACAGATTTCATAATCTGATGATACAGATGTTATAATTTGATGATACAGATGTTACAATCTGATGATCTCATGATACAGATGTTACAATCTGATGATCTCATGATACAGGTGTTATAATCTGATGATACAGATGTTATAATCTGATGATACAGTTACTAAAATCTGATGATACAGTTACTAAAATCTGATGATACAGATGTTATAATCTGATGATACAGATGTTATAATCTGATGAAACAGTTACTAAAATCTGATGATACAGTTGATATAAATTTAACTTATGTTCTTATCTGATGGTATAATTCCTGTAATAATTATACAATATGGATACAGACGCTATAATCTGATGAAACTGACGCTATATGTGATGACTTTGCTGCTATAATTTGATGACACTTATGGTATTATTCCTATAAAAATGATATGATATGGATACAGACGCTCTAATCTGATGAAACTGATGCTATATTTGTTGACTTTGCTGCTATAATTTGATGACACTTAGGGTATAAGCTGATGATAGTCACTTGTTGACAGTGCTGGTGCTATAATCTGACGATGTGATGAAAGTTATATTAAAATCTGATTTCATATTCTAGTAGTTCTATTCTTATATCTTTAGCCAATTTTCCAGAAAACGCGGGCAGAATTTGTTTATTAGAATTACGACCTTTCGGACTATAACGAACAAGTTCTCACCAGTATAATGACAGACAATTAACATTTCACACATTGAAGGTAAACTTCAGATCAGATCAGAAATCTCAACCAAAGTCGACCAATTTACTGGTCTTCATCATGGATATTCTTGTAGTCGATAATTACAAATATAATTTGAACAATACAGGAGAGTAAAGTTCATCTGATATGATAGAAGATTAACATAACATAATCTGAACATCAAGGTCAATTTTGTGATGTCAAAGTCATCTGCTGCCATATCGAATTATGGCCACATAGCGACATCCTTGTTAAGGCTGAACGTTTTCTGTAAAAGTTTGAAATGCGGATTCACTGGGATGCACAGTGGAGAGAAGGTTGAACTTTCAAATTTCGGGTCACTCCAAATTCTAAGTATTTATAGAAAATAACCTCCTCTTACACAGTTCCAGTTGTAAACGTTTGCAATATCAGATTTGGAGCCCAAGAGAAAATCTTTATTTAATATCAACAAGGAATTAAAATTCAGCTTATATCTTTCTAATATTGATGTCTATATTGGGAATTGACAGCTATAGATAAAAGCCCCTTAGAGAACAGACGTTCAGTACTGATGGCGCCCAAAACATGTTGAGATTCTCTGCTCAAGTGGAAGATTTCATTAAAACAAGTCTCGATTTGTTGTCACTATAAACTTATTCATTATATAATCTAGCAATACTCATGGGAAAAAGAGAAAATATAAAAAAAAAACTGAATAAAAATTGATATTGTTAATGTCATATTTTTTTAGACATTTGAAGTTGAATCTATCGAGTATTGAGAGTTAAAGGCCAATTTCAAATATACAGCAATGTTATTACTTTCACCAAAATAACCAAGTCATCCTCCATCCCCGAACACCACCCTTATGGCGATCATCTGAAAATTACCATATATTCTAATATTTGTGATCAATTTACGATAGAGGGATGAAATTTCGTAGCCTAACTAAGATTAAGAATTACCTACATCACTGACAATATGTTGAGTGATCAATCGTAGATCAGCCATCACCATGCGATGTATCCATGTTATTCCAGGATGGTTGCTGATGAAGGTATTTTTGGACGAGGGTCATCGTCATGGACACATTGGAATAGAAGAAGTGAGAATCAACCCTCTGAGATTGACACCATGACATAAGCATGTATCTGTATTTAAGTTAGCCCTATAGCCAGTTTTGTCCATTTCTAGCGATATCAAATGGCAGGCTCAAAAGATGTTCTGGTACAGAGACATGGATTACACTACAAAGATGGTATTGGAAAGTTACATGGAAAATCCTTCCAAAATTCTGACTTTGTAGATGAGTTCAACCTTGCTAACATGTAATTTGGCAAGAATTCTGAAGATCTAGACAGAAAAGACAAATCTTTACAACGGAGAAGGCATCGTTGAATGCAAAGATTTAAAATCGAATTCGTGCAAACATGGTTGTGAAGGAGCTCGTTTTCTGATTGCTGAACATTTTTATAGGTTTTTCATTAAAACGAAATGGCAATTAGTGAATTTTGTTTAATTAAAAATCCAATTTATTTAAATTGTTGTTTCATTTTGATAGAACTGTTTGCCGCACCTTTTGTTTGAGTCATTTCAATATAACAATTTATAACTTTTTGACAAATAAATACTTTATTTCAACACGATATTAAAATAGAATGGACAATAAAAAGTTCACTTTTATTGTTACTCATTAATCAATCCATAATTAGAAAAAAATATTGTCCGAGTTTAACATATTGAATTTTTTGTAATAGTCTTTTCTTTTGAAACTGTGACATTTAGTTAAAACCTTAACGATGTTCAATTAAAATATGGAATCACGGAGTGGCTTTAAATACCAATTCTACATTTTCATTTCCAAAAGTCAAGAAAATTCCTCTGCTTCTTCAAAATGCCCTTAAATTGTACTTGCATGTAAAAATCTTATATGGAACTGAGTGAAAATATCGGCATTTTAAAGAATCGCTGATCCACAGCTTTCTGAAGGTGCAACAAACTGCCCTTTTGTTTACAGGAATCATGCAATTTTCTTCGAAAATTCTGGCCTTTTTTACTATACCAAGTGAAATCAAATGGCCACAGAAGAATTCAACAGAAAAACAGTAATATTGGGCAACCATATACCTCAACTTTAAACACTTAAAAGTGGTTTCTTTTACTTAAAAGTGGTTTCTTTTATTTTCATCTTGTGGAACGTCGCAGAATATAATTTGAGTTACGTATCTAGAAATATGGGATGCAGATCTTGGCCTATATATGAAATCTTCAAAAATTTAAAACATTCCAGTTCGTTTAAAGCCCAATTATCAAAAAAAAATGATATTGAAAAAAAAAAAAATCGTTTCTATCCAAATTTGGTCTTTGACAATGATATCACTAACGACAATTACGGTCCAGCTGCTTTCAAAAGACATCATTTGCAATTGTGAAGTGGCAATTAAATACTCGTTTATAAGGCGCGATACAATCTGATGCGCTCCTAATACGTTTGAAGATGTTCTAGCACGGTTTTAGTTTTCGAGAAGAAAAATAATATTGATACGTTTTCGAACTCGTTTAGAAAATAATAGGCGAATAAAAAATGACTAAACGTATTATAGGATGATATTAAGTGTCTTTATGTAGCAATACAATAGGAAGAAAAGTGAAGACAACAACTAATCGATCGTGTTTGAAAGTAGATGAGGAAAACTGACCACTACCATGATTAGATAGTTACAATCGCAACTGATGAGTCAATTTGACTAGCAGGGTCTCTACAAGGCAAATTATATTAGCATATTCCCTAAGGGTTCTGGTAAGGTTTTGCGAACGTATACTAAGCCTTGCAAATGTATTGAAAAAGTGGATTTTAGTGCTCCACAAATTCTTTTATACCCTTCGAAAACAGGGCTCAATGGTATTTCAAAATTTCAAAATTTAGCCAGTACAATATTATTTATTCAATCAGCATTGTCAAAAATTATCTTCTGGTGCACAAAGATGTTCGCATTAGAATTCCAATATAATCTGATGTGCGTTTTTTGGAATTTGGACAACCACGTTGGCAAAAGTATCTGTTTATCTATATCTTTATACAAAATACAGCTGTGATCAAATACATTTTATGAGAGCAATATCAAAATATTTTTTCAATAATGTTTTCTGAAATTCTATGACCCGATAAAAGTGCCTTACCCCAGTACCTTTTCTAGGCGAAATGTATCGTCAGTAGCGATTGATATGGCTTTAGAAATCGTTTTAATAGTCTCCATGTATTTGTGAGGTCTTAGCTTTATTATAAACTATAGGAGGCCCTGTTCTTAATTCCCTATGATAAATAGCGTTTATAATTCTCAATTATATTGTGAAATGTGATTGGCATTCTAATAGACACATACTTAAATTATCGATTGACCACCACTGGACACCAACATGGCTTGGAGAAGCTGGTATATATCGAAATTTAATGGCCAGAGGAAGCGAAATATGAAATTGGTTTGATAATTAAATTTAACTGACCAAAAGGAAAGCTACTTTCAAGCCTAAAGGAATTGAGAAAGTACATAAAGCTCTATAATTGTAAGATTTCAAGGATGATGTTATCAAAACGTTTTTATTCCCAAAGAGGCGATATTGTCCTACTATAAAAATTTTAAATAGTTTTGAAAAAGTCTGCCATCTCCATAGTATTTTGGACACTGTGCAATCCGCGTAATCCCCTGTTTACAAACTTTTTTGGTCATTGTTTTGCTATCCAAACCACGACTTGATGGTAAATCAGACCGTGTTGTATAGCTTCTGTTTTTAAAATTGTTCATTTGTGTGTTTCGGGTAGGTCTAAGCTACCTTTTATGCAACAGAATGGCAAGTAGCCCTAAAGCGTTTTTAAAAAGTTTAATTTTGATATTTGGATAAATTTTTCCTTGTCGAACACTTTTTTATATTCTTGGTGATTTTCTTGTCCACTACTTGTACTTGCATCCAAATGTAGAAGCTATTCGACATCGAATTGTAACACAGGAAACGAGATTCAATATTGGACAAAGGGGGATAACTCTTCTTTGTAATAATTCTTGCAGCAGAATTAAAGAGATCTTCTGCTGTAGCTACCCCGTCAAATGTATCAAATCAACGCTTCCATCTCAAAAGAGTTTAAAATGTGCTTTTATTTATATCATGATCAGGAAAAAATGGTGTCTGCCGAAGCACATCAATTAAGAATCCCTATA